TCTTGAAAATTTGTGGACTGTTCTTAAAAGCCATATCTGTGCCAGGAAACCAACCAATTTGAATGAATTATAACATGAAGAGTGATCAAGTATTTAGACAGAGTCATGCCAAAAGGTTGGTAGGGACATTTAACCAAACATTAGTAGGCATGTGCAAGCCTATATGTATACGTTTGACCCTGTGTGAATTAGAGAAAATCCAAAAATAAGTTCAAACTTGTGCACCCAGTTCTTGTCGTTGCTGATGTATAGTGTACAATCATTTCACCCAATGTTACATCTACTATGAAATTTCAGGAATTTGAGCAAAGTGTCAAAGAGCAAAACTGTACATTTGGTCATCAACAGCACTGACTTCCTGCCTTTAGCCTTGACTATGTCAGTCTCTTATATACAGTATGTGGTAAAACCTTGTCTTTCATACATAGTTCACAGTATAGATGACTATACACAACAACAGATGTACATCCACTACATTCAAATTCATCTTAAACATCTACATGCTAGTCTATTTGATTGCTTGACCTTGAACTTCTGTTCAGAGCATGGCTACTATTAGAGTAGTAGATGCCAATATTTATAATCAAGGAAATGCATCAAAGCATCACAGCATCTTCATTTTACACAGCCAAAACAGCACATTGTCTTCCTGCTTTGTTTTTCTTTCCTGTGGTGCTGCTAGACACAGGATGGATCCTGTTGTCTCTGACACTCAGTGACTATACCAGAGATTAGCATATGAATCTATGCAATCTATGGACTTTAGGTTCTGTTATCAGAAACTTTAAAATGACGGAGAAATAAGCTGACAGTTTCTGTGCTTTATACAACATTTAGTTTACATAGTGTGTTTTTGTTTTGTTTTGTTTTTTTGAGTTTGACAACTGTGAAAGAAATTTTTAAAAATCCATCATTTAACCAGCCAATGGAAAATTAAAAGCACAATTGTTTTGTGGTGTCCTCACTTTCACCCTTGCTGATGTTTTCCAGTACTGCTGACGCCTGCTGTGATTAAAGCCCCACAGGTTTTCATGAACACCCCATTTATTCTACTCACTACAGCATTTGTTCTATTCAGAGATAAATTAGAATCCAAGCCAAAGAAATAAAATAAACTCAGCATAAGCAATAGATTATATGCACTACTTTTCATATATATATATATACATATATTCCTATGACGAAACTGCTACAGTAATTTGCTGTTATTAAAATTTTCAACATTTCAGGAACTTCAAGGAAACAAAAAGCATTTTGGTGCAGTGTATTTTAAAAATGCTAATGCCATACCGTCTCTGTGTTTGTGTTAAATCTCTCTCCAGGACATGAATGACTTTTCTCCAGTATTCAGCCAGTCAGTGTACCGAGGCATGGTTGCCCCTAATGCTGTCAAGGGAACCATCGTAACCACAGTGATGGCCAATGACTCTGACCCTGCGGTGAGCATTATCAGATGCAGCTATTCAATCAAACTGTTTCACAGCCTGCTCCTCAAATTGTGTACTGGAATGATGCAAGATAATGGTGCTTGTCTTCAGTCAGTGTGTGTGTAGGTGTGTTTTTAACGCATTTTCACTTCTTTCTCTAGTGGAGTATTTTTTTTTTTTATACCTCAGTGTGTCACAAGGTGAAATCTCAAGAGAATATTTAATGCTGAGCATCCTTGTTATGTAGACTGCTTTATTCTGGTTGTTGTAAAACGAGGTTTAGCTGTTTTATGTGAGTCTGATTTATGTAACTGTAGGTTAATAAGGTGATAACATGCTCATGGAGAATTCTCATAATCGGCAGTATGTAAGAATACCTCACGAGGCTTCATTGAATCATGCAGCGACACTGGGAAAATCACTTTTTTAAAAATATTAGAAACAAAAATAAACCAGCTGATGCGTTTAATTCACAAAACAGGTGTATATGAAAAAGCACTGGGAGTGCTTTTATTTTGCATTACTGCTCAAGATGCCATGAGCTTATTTTTCCCTCCTCCTTCTTCATGCAGGATCTTCTACACCAGCAGTGTTCTCATATAAGCCTCTTTAAAGCACTGCTTTCCTTTCACTGTTTCGCATGCTGCTTCCTGTGTCAGCTGAATTGCTTCATACTTTAGATTTAAGCATGAGAAATTCTCTTGGGTCAAAAACAACATTATAAAGTCCAGGCTATATGCTATAAAGGACCTCCCCGGTGCTCAACAAAGGTACTAAATAGCACCTTGTTTGAGCGCTGGAGCCTATAATATTCATATATCTCTGTGTAATTTCCATTTATACCCTCCAGATCTAAAGTATCCCTCGAAAGTACAAATACTTTCAAGAATTTATCAGCATCGGGTTTTGCTGACTCACTCTGAGCTGTTGTGCAAGAAAGTGTTACATCAATGTAGACAGTTGCTGAAATACTGCTCGCAACAGCAGTGCTTCTGCAAAAGTGAACTCAGATTAGACCGTTTGATGGCTGGATTGAAAAATGGCTGTTTACATAATTAAAAATATCTATTTTGTCTGTCTGGAGTTTCTCTTTAACTTCCCCCGTTGCCCTTACTCTTTCAGCGTTTCAGTGTGAAAATATGACCTTAGCGGACTTGTCATTGTTGTTTTTTCGCTGGTGGATTTACAGCCTTAAGGGAGATAAAGTGAATAAAGTGTGTATGACAAGCAAGACATGTAGCAAGAACCTTTCGTCCCCTGAGAATAAACAGAGGGCAGATATACTGTATGACTTTTAGCCAAAGGAGCAACTTTTGTTGCTGTAAATGTTGTTCCTCAGACCATGACATAGACAACATATGTAAGTATTATAGTGAAAACATTTTTTTAAAGAAGATATAAATGAACTGCTTCTGTCACATATTACAATTTCTGAAAATAAACTAGCAAAAGCACCAGTTTTATCACATTGTCAGCGCGTATTTTTAAAGTTCAAGGAAAGCTTTAAACGCAGAGGTCTAATTTGTTGGTGTGTTTATTTTTCCTCCTCAGAATGGCACAGCTCATTAAAGAATACGGAGTATTTTCTTAAAATATGTGGATATTACAATGTAAATGTATGTATTTCCTGACATTTTGTGTCAAATCAGTCATAGTAACTTATGGCTGCTCATTATCAGCAACAGTTAAGAGGTTAATTCACGACCATTTGAACGGCATTTATTTAAAGTAATGATATGTCTTATAACGCTCACAATTATTTCTATATAGAGACTTAACATTTGGATCCCTGCTAATTGCTTTAGATATTAAATACTGCAAAACTCATTACATAGCCATCACCACACTATTTAATTACAGTTCAGAAGATATTAGAAAGAAAGAAATGGTTTTCCAGAAACCATGCATGAGGCATTTCATCCTATAGTTTTTTGTTTAATCAACTTCAAGTTTTTTATTTTTTATTTTAATGTTTAAAATGGATATTATTCTGTTGTCATCATAGGGTACTCCAGCAGGTTTAGTACGTTATAAGGTGGACCAGGAGGCGTATCCATACTCAGCCAGTATATTTGGCGTAGAAGAACAGACCGGACGTGTGGTTACCAGAGTGAACCTGAACGAGGAGCCGAACATGAAGTTCAGCGTAAGTGTGCACAGACGTCTTTTTTAAAAATCAATTTTTCTTTCTTTTTTTTTTGTAAAACACAATGAAGATGACTCAACTTTGCACTTGAGTCATCTTCATTGTTTTATTTAAAATCGACTGTGGTGTATAGAGGCAAAACTACAAATATTGCATCTTCATCTTCAAATTATGGATGTAACTGTACTGAACTGCTGCTACATCAAACCCATCATTACAAGTCTTTTGCAGTATTTTTTGTTAAAACCCTGAAACCAGGTTTTACATTTGTGAAGTCACGGCCCACTCGGTCTTATTCAATAATGCCTATATTTCATTAAATGTAGCCATTGCGTAGTGAGTGTTTAATTGCATCATCTTACATAACAGCGGTTGTTATTTAGATAACATTTATCCTGATGACCTTCTTTTGGCTTTATCGTCTGGATTCTGGTATTCAGTAGGTGGGGGCGTGGAACGACATCATACAAAATAAGTCAGAATGATTAGATTACTAATTCCAGATTTGATTTGCTTACATGTAATTCTTATGAACAGGGAACTCTGAACAATTCCCTATCCACTCTACAAAATATATTGCAGCAGCTTATTAGTTTCAAATCTACCTTCTCCCAGCTGTATTCCTCAATGGGCCTTGCTAATTTCATCTTTTCATTGGGCTTTAATTAACACAACAAGGATTCATCATCCTCTGAAGATATCGCTCAAGGGACTAATTCTACCTTGTTTGCTCCAATAACTCAAACAAAATGAACTAGTCCAAAACTGAGTACAAGATTTGGCTTATGACTGAGATAAACCTTGTCTAATGTTCTCGTACACAGTAAAGACACAGTAAAGACGGTTTAAATGATGTGCAGCTAATTACTACCCAACTCGCTCGCCTAAAGACACCACAGCATTAAAAAAAAAGAATTTGGTGGGCAATTCAGCGTGCGTAAGCAATTGTGCAAAGAAACCAATTGAAATCCTCAGTCGGAAGGAAAAAATAGTTGTGATGAGAATCAGCAAGCCACTTAACTATCACATGTCGCAAGTTCCCAACTGCTAAAGAGTTATTTATGCATGTAGCTGTTTCCTATTTAAAACACTAGTTACTGTATGAATATAAAACAGGATGCATGAGCTGTAGCGTTCACCTGACTAAAGGAGATGAAGGAAACACAATATTTCAGTGTGTTGATATTTAAGGTTGGCCCTCATTAGGAATCCTTTGGGCCTGGTTAACAGCAGTTAGCCCCCCAATTAAATGAAGAATAAAAGCCGAGGCAGGAAAAGTCAAGCACACCAGTGGGACACACACCCTCTCTGTTCTTCAAATCCCATCTGAATCATGTGCAGGAAGAGAAAAGTACAATTTATTCTGGTTTATTGCGGGGCTGTCACGCATTGGCTACATCCCATTTAGCGAGCGTAAATGAGAGCGGCGGCGGCATCAGACAGCCATCTCGCAGGGGCGTGGGTATCAATGGCGTGGTGATGTTCTGGCTTTGTCTATATTTGTTTGACAGCTGGTGGTGGTGGCATACGATCATGGTGAGCCTGTAATGAAGAATACAACTCTGGTAGAGATCACAGTCCTTCAGCCCTCTGTTATCCCTGTCTTCACCCGGGAAGAATACAGGTATGTGCACATACATACACATTACCATTGTTTAAATTAAACGTCAGCCTTTTCTTCTTACAATACAGTATGATGACATCAGGCTGGTAAATGGCGTCACTAGTATGTGACACCAATACCAAAACAATGGATTTGTATAGCTTTTGTCAGACTTGAGGACCGCAATGTTGCTTTTGTGCAGCCATTTCCCTTGTTGCCAGGTTTCAAAAAAAAACATTTTTGTTTTGATTTTCATGAGAGCTGATCACATGAGTCATGACGTCTGTTCTCGTCACATTTTCGGATCGCATCACTGGGAATCCCAGACGAGTAGAAAAAAGTATCTGGTACCAGGTACTATCACCTAATGTAAAACTCTAAAAACCGAGTCGAGTCAAGCAGAGCCGACCCAAGTAAGTACTAGTGTTGTTTTTTATTAGTGGAATTGTTGCAAAGCAATAATCGCAATATATTTACTCAATATGGCTGCATGTATTTTTTTTTAACTCTTTTTTTAACCCTCATTGTGCTAACAATGAGGGTTCAAAATCAGCTGCTTAGCCAACCTTTAGGTATTCATATTCCCCAAAGTCTAGCATTGAGCTCACTGCACCACCCCTCCTCTGCAGCTGAGCCACACCTCCATCACATCTACCATCACACAAAATTTGAAAATGATATCTTGAATACTGCGGACGCTAGACTACTAACAAAAACAGACAGATAGACAAACAAACAGAACCAATTACATACTCCCTCCCTCCAGGAAGAGAATTATTGCAAAGGTTGTATTCCTGTGCAGCAAGAGGCAGGCACACATCTCAGTTTCTCACAGTTAGCTGAATAAAAACATAAGAAATGCTGGATGGCACTCTTTTGTGCCTCCCAAGTAAGATGAACAATTTGTTTCTTGTTTGGCAAATTAATGAAGTGCATTAATTTAACGGGTGATTAGAATATAGGAAAGAAAAACTATAAGGTGGAGAACTGAATTAATTTTCCCTGACAGATTAAAATCCAAAGTGCTTAGTAAGGTTCAGCCACATTTCAGCATGGACCTCTATCCATCCATCCATCCATGAATGATATATTCCTGAAAAATAATATTGTAGAGCATCAGGAAGCTTTTCTGGTGACTGTTTTCTCAACTCAGATGTTCTGCCACATAATAACACAGAAGGTGCTAAATCTGAACAGCATGATTGATGTTTGCTGCTATAATTCAGTTTTGATTAGAAGTGAAGTGATGTGCTTCACTGTGCTGAAATTCTTCACAATAACTTGAACAAATTTGGCAAAATTTATCTTGCCAAAACAAATATGCATATCGGCATCAACATATAAAGGTGAGCTTTCCGCACTTGTATTTCTATGAATTCTGCAAAAGCTGCTTACACTCACCTGTTTTGCAACAACACTAAGCCACACACTATAATTAACTACCACAGAGCATGCCTGTTTCATCTTTGAGGAGCAGTGTTATGTGTTTGATAACAGTAATTTTGTCATCAGCTAAAGGACAAAACTCATCCACAAGAGTCTGTAAAAGAATCAACCTTACATCGTTTTTAAATTACATTGTGTCAAAATATTGACTCATATTCAAGTCATAAAGCAACAGTATGTAATTTTGTCTCAATAAAGCGTGTAATCCATCTCCTTTGATTATAGAGCTACATACTCTAACTAGCCACTTTATTAAGTGCACCTGTTTAACTGCTCATTAACACAACTATTTACTCAGCCAATCAAATGCAAGTTCATTGCATTTAAATGACCTCCACAGTCACCAGATGTCAATCCTGTGTAGAGCAGGAGTAGAGCACCTTTGGGATGCGGTGGAGCAGGTGGACATTCACATGATGAATATCCACAGACTGCGTGTTGATGTCAGTTCAGCATGGACCAAAATCTCTGAGGAATGTTTCCAACTTTGTTGAACGTATGCCACAAGGAATTAAGGTAGTCAGAGGTCCAACCCCTGTACCTGCAAGTTCTACCTAATAAAGTGTGAGTTTAAATGTCTCTGCACAGGAGATTTAAAAGAAGCAAAGAGTATTTATATTTTTTAAGACAGCAATTTTTCATTCACTCTGTCAAGCGAAACCCAAGAGAACCTGGCCGATCAATGCCCTTACCTCATCAGCAGACACAAATACACACTCATTCTCAAGTCGTCACCACAACTCTTTCAGTCGGTGCTCGTTTTGTGAGGTCATGGTGTCACCTCAGGTTTTCTTTTCCGCAATTGGCTGTGGTATTGTCCCACAATGTCTACCTATTATCCTTTTTTTTCCCTCTATTTTGATCTGTCATTCTTTCTAACTATTCCTCATAAAAATTGTTCTCCGTTATCCTGGTTTTTATCAGCCCCGTTCTATGTCTGTTTGTCCCCTCATTGATGTTAGAGTGAATGAATTGCTCTCTTTCCATTTGCTCCTTTGTTATGCTGGCTGTCAGACACAATATCGAAGACATCAGACTGGAAAAGTGAAAATTGCAGGAGAAGATGCTTTTAAACATCATATTTTTCTAAGTGTTTCAAATATTTTCACGTCGCTGGACTTTCTGTTAACGCTTGGCAGTGCGAAGGAGAGTAATACTTCGTATTATTCTTTTATTCACTCTTGCAGATTTTCTTTTCATTTTAGTTTCTTCGTCTGCCTTCATCAAATCTCAAAGCGATCCATATTTTTCTATGCAGAATATGTGTAGGCAGTTGCAGCGATACAACTCACTTTTCAAGTGGCTGACAATACCAGCTGTCTCTGACACCTCAATATTCAGCACTTGAAAAAAAAAATCAAACCTTTGATACTGATTTTGTAAAACTATATCTATATTGACATTAAAACTCACTTCAAAGCCCTTATCTCTCTTTATTCAAACACCGGCTACCGCGAGTTTGCGGCTAAATGTTTCAGAACATTGTAATTGCAACATTAACGTGTCAAATCCAACACACGTCTTACTTGTACAGATCACATTTCAAGACGTCAAGGTTTGTCTTTCACGCAGAGTAAAGCTCTTGTCTATTTTTAGGGGAAAGGGTTGGAGGCAAGAGAGAGAGATGTCATATAATACTGCATTTATGAATATGTAACATAGCTTCCAGCTAAAAGAGCGTGCACGTGTCTGTGTGAGCGTGCACTTTTTAGTATTTTTCTGTATTTGTTAATCATCACACAGTTCACAGTATTTGCATGCATCCACACATTGTTGTTCGTGCACATTAAAGTCCCTTCTTGCGCGTCTGTCTTTGAATGTGTCTGTGCATGTTTACTATGTACAGTATTTTAATGTGTTTGTGTGTAAAAGACAGCATTGTGTGTGTGCGTGCGTGTGTGTTGTTGCAATTCCTTGTCGTATTCACACAGTGTACACTGTACCAGCTTTGAATTAATTATCCCAGCTTTATAGAATAAAAGCTTACCATTGTACCAGTGTGATTTTGAGAGCTAGCTAATGCAGCTTAATGAGTTCGCATGGTTTCAGCAGACCGGCTTCCAGCCATGGCCGAGTCTGAATTAGTAATATTGATTCCTGTAATGAAAAAGAGAGTAGCGCTGTTAAAAGTGACTTGTTGAAATTTCCGCTTTTCCCCCCAACATGGAGTATTTGTTTGATTTGGTCCAGTTGTCTTTCATTTGAGACTTGTAGAAGACCCTGTGCATCAATTTACATTCTTATACTGTAGGGGATCATAAAATTTGACTTGTAGTATCAGTGCACTGAACATGCATTAAGGAGCTTTCAGTGAATTTCCTGTTTTTGGTGTGCAGTCCTGTTTAGGCTTAATAAATACAAGACAAAAAATATAAAAGAATCAGTTTATTGGCATCGGTTTATGTGACACAACATCCGAAAACAATGTTAAAGTCCAAAACTGTTATTTATGGTGTACTTGCTTCCTAAAATGTAAAGTTCCATATTGATATGGAACTTGTCTATCTTTGTTTATTTTCTATCAGGGCTGTCAACGGTAACGCATTAACGTGATTAAAATCTTTTACGCAATTAACCCATCTGGAGCGCAGAATGACTCAAAATCCATGAAATGTCTCTGTCAACGCAATTTGCGCAATTTGTTCAAAGTTTGTCCATTCTGCGCTCCAGATGGGTTAAATGCATTCAGAAAACATGCAAATAGAGATATATTCACCTGCATCATGTTTGTACATTATTAAACTGATAAAAACTTATAAAAACTCCACTAGCTTTATAAGTAACCATCAGCCAAAAGAGCATTATTAGTATCATCACTGAGGGGGGGGCATTGCTGTTACCAACAATGTGGCTTTGCCGAGCAGTTTTCACATCATAGCCAAGTGATTTGCTGGACAAAGATCTGGTGCAAAATAGTGTGTTTATGCACCAGAAAATATTCCATAAAATTGCATTTTTGAGATGTTGTTTGAAGAGGTGTGCCACTTTAATTGATTTCACACAGCCTGACAAATTTCCTTTGGAGTTGGGGCTGTATTTGCAGACAACGAAGTTAAGACAACAAACACAGGAAATAGTGGAGTGTCCTCTTGTTCTTGATTCTGTCATTACTTGCTTGTTTATGTGCACAATTGAGATTTGTTTGTCTTTCTGTGTCTTTGCCCAGCTGTTCCTGTGCTGGGTCACATATGTGCAAAAAATGTATGGTAAAAATGCAGCTGTAAAAGCCTCGGTAATATATGTCTCAGTTCAGTTCTCAGCAAACTGTTTCAAGGGCCATGTAGGTTGGTTAAATCCATACTGGGTGAGCAATACGGGACTTGCAGCCCACAGTTTCACCCCCAGGAGTATGTATATGTATATGTGTACTGAAAAGGTCAGAACTTAAACCTTTTATACTCTCAATAAGCTAGAACCATACATAACGCTGGGCTTCTCGTTTGGAACTGTTCAAAACAAATATTCAGAAGAGTTCAAAATGCTTACACATAATGCAGTTTTTCAGCATAGCTAACCAAAGATATGTAGTTTTCATTGAAATGATGTCTTCTTATTTAATAACATCAGAAACTAGA